GTCAGATTGCAAAGCAGCTGACCCCCTTCCTGTGATTCATAGCAACAAGATCTCTGCATACCGTGCTCTGTCTTTCCAGGACACGATACACTGTCTAGGAAGTGGGGGGAGGTGGGGGAGGCTTGCCACTATGAATACTAATAAATGGGGGGAGAGACCTCCGAGAGGGTGTTACACTTACACAGCTTGCAAAGCACACATGCGGCCATTTCAAAATAAGTCATTAGGAAGTTAAGAGGACTAAAAAAAAAAATTAAGTTTCTGTGAACACATACACTCTGTGTACATTGCTGCCATATTTTTATTTTGTTATTAAATTAAGATAATTTAAAAAGGCTGCCTAAACCAGCTGTGAGAACCATTAAACCACCTTATCGATTCCTATTACTGGGTTGCTTCACAGAGTCCATTATCCCTACATATAAATAAGCCTTTTGGCACCTTGATAAAGGGGTTATCCCTGATGCCCCTGAAACGAGTTGACTTAGGTTTCAAATTACATGAAGAAAATGCATATTGTATTGTGTACATTTGGTGTGGCATATAAATACTCTAGCAAACCTAAAATATGCGAAGGCTTTTATTAAAGGAGAACTATGAGGTGAGTGATTCCACTCATCCTCAGTTAGAGCTGACCTGTGACAAAGAAGCTGTGACAGGTCGGCTCTATTGATCGGGAAGTGAGCAGAAACATCCACCGATCTGTTCACATCCCGATAGTCTCCCTGCAGTGAGCGGTGACCGTCAGTCACCACTCCCCGCAGGGATTCCCCCTCCCCTTTCCAATCCTCCAGCGCTGACTGGAGGAACAAATGGGGGAGGGGGCAGGTAGAGCTGGCTCTGCCTCTGGATAGGCAGAGCCAGCTGTCACTCACGCAGCTGGGTGGATCTCAACAGTATTGTCGAGATTCCTCCTGGCTGCGGCGCTATCAGTTTATCGCGGGCAATAGCCCGCTGTATACTGAGCTTTGGGTCACGGGAGGAGGTTGGTATATGTCCTCCCATGAACCTAAAGAGAAGTATGGGGAAAAACACTTAACCCATAGTTCTCTTTTAAAGCTGAGCTCTGGGATAAGCAAATATTGCCTAAACACAAAAGGAAAGTGTATTCTTAATTTTTGGTGTACTCTGTGTATTTCTTCCAGATCTGTGCAGTAATCCAGTGTGGAACTTGGCCTCAGTAATGATATCACTGCTACTGCTACACTGCTAGCAAGGTAATAATTGGGTTTGGCATTTGGTGCACACAGTGGATTTATAAACTTTTGTGATTATTGAGGAATATACACTGCCTGGCCAAAACAAAATCACCACCTGGATTTAGCTAAGCAAAAAAGGAAGGAGCTTTCCATTGGATAATAGGTGTAGGTTCTGCAATGTTATATCCCCAAAAAATGAGGTTAGCTGCCTCCCTGAATATATTGAATGACAAGGTTTTTTTCTTCCCTGATTGCAAGGGCATTTTCCAAGATGACAATGCCAGGATTCATCGGGCTCAAATTATGAAAGAGAGGGTCAGGAAGCATGAGACATTGTTTTTACACAAGGATTGGCCACCACAGAGTCCACATCTTAACCCCATCAAGAAACTTTGAGATGTGCTAGAGAAGACTTTACGCCGTGGTCAGACTCTTCCATCACTACAAGAGCTTGGTGAAAAATGAATGCAACTCTGGATGGAAATAAACATTTTGACTTTCAATAAGCCTAATCGAAATGATCCCATGGCGAATGCGTGCCATAAATCAAAGCTAAAGGCAGTCCTACAAAATATTACAGTGTGGGACTTTTTCCGGCCAGGCAGTGTATTTGAATATTAGTTTTAAGTCGGACCCCAGGAAAAGAGCTATATACAGAGTTGAAATATATGTATGTTTACTGTTACACCTGTTAAGGATCTGTGATTTACAAACTTTTGTCACACATTTCTTTATTTCAGAAAATAAGCTTCCTAGATTATCATTCTGCCTACACCCTGCAAAAGTTACTCTGTGACATGCCAAGGAAGATGAAGGGACCCTGAATTGCCCCGAAACGTTGCTTTATGACGAGGTGTGTGTACATCAATAAAATGACCATTCGCTGAAGATTTTACTTTTACGTGCTGGTGATATATTTTACTACTTGGATTTGAAGTGGCGCCATCCACTATCACTGTAGCCCACCTTAAAAGGGACATACCAGTAAGGAGTGCGGTGGGGACATCTTTGGAACATGCTAAGGAAGAAGTACTGTTTGGTCTAATTAAAATGCAGAAAATGAATTTAAACCAGAGTTAGTCTTAAGTCACACAACATGATTGAATACAAATTTAGTAATTTGAAGAAAAAAGTAATTTATCTTTGTGCAGCCCACAAACTAAGTTATTCAAACTGATTTATCACATATTGGAGATACAACTTCATACTGACATTCCTAATGCTAAGTCTCTGAGCTAATCTTTTGTATACCAACACCTTCCTTGCATCTATTCTCTCAAAGAGGTAACATGCACTTAGCAGCGTTTCCCAAAGGATGCAGAATCAATGGGAACTATTGTTTGTAGAGGCGTTTTATATCCAGGCTGGCACTGGCTCCAGATATTTTCCCTTGTGTTTTTCTTCAGAAAGAAAATGTTTTAACTATTTCCTTATCTGAGATCAGGCACACACAATATGGCTGTGCTTGCAAATTGATATTTGCATCCTATGATTAAGTACATAAATCCAGAAGCAATAGTAAAACTGAAAAACATCTAAACCTCACAGGGGTACCATGATCATTAGAATGCTTAACTTCAACGAATAACCTCAATCAGAATAAAACTCAAGCAAGGGTTGTTAATACTACAATTCTCAGATCATGTAAGTAAAATGAATGCAAGGTACTGTATTTATGAAACTATGTTTCTATATATATATATATTTATTATGCTACAGTTGGTGATTATGTTATTCCTATGGTCTCAAAGGCGCCTGTGACAAATTTGTGGTTGTTGTGCCCTTAACGTACATGAGCCCATATATAAACTCCTAGAATATGCAGCACTATATATTGTAAAATGATGTCTATTAAATTTCTTCCAATACGTTTAAGTTGTGGACGTTTATTTTTATGGCCACTAAGCAGATTATTGCTAAATCCTGGGAACCTCTGTGCTCAACGTTCATGAAGAACAGGATGAAGGAGACTAATATACAAAACAATTATGGCAACATTATTGGGTAGGATGCACAATTTCGACAACATTTGGACCCCTTGGGTTAGACCCTTTTTTCAAGCCACGTTTGAAAGGGGCCCACTACAACTGTAGTCAGTGTGTTAAATATCGGCCACCCCCGTGTGCCACAGAAACCTCATTACCCAACTCTTCCTAACCCCACCCCTTTGCTACTAACCGATGAACCATATTCATTTGTGTCACCAAGTAAACATACACAGTTTTAAATAATTAACTATATTCCACCACCTACTACAAGGGCTGCCTAAATAAAACATGGGAGTCCATTTGAAATGCGGTGTTAAAAGAGTAGAGGGCAGCCAAATAGAGCACAGTAGAGTGTTCATACACGGTTAATACATGGGCCTTGCCAATATGGCAAATCAAACATCACTACAGCTAGGTTTGTTATTTTAACTGCTACTTTTACTTTCAAGAATTTACACTGGCAATATTTTAGAGGACAAGAGGATGTCTAAACTCGAGCCAACTATCCTCAGGGCAGCAAATCTAAGTTATCCATAAAAAAATGCTAAATCAGCTCTGCTGACCTACCAAGTTTATGTCCATGCAGAGAGGAGTATAAATTAACTAATTGGTGCAGACAGACACTACTGGTACAGCTTATCAGGTGAGAATAAAATATTGTTTAGGACATGTTTTCTAACTTTCACCAATGTCTCACCTGGGAGCCATTAGTCAGCAGGCATCCTGCTGACTCTATAGACATGAGATCGTTTGATTTTGATCAAAACTGGACATGTTTTATCTAAGATGTATGAGTTTCTTTAGTTTGTTAGCAATGTCAAATTAAAATGTGTTTGAGGGGACGCTGACTGTTTCTATGGCTGTCTCAGTCACCCTGTTCTTGAAAGGATGCCTGTGGAGCAGGAGGAAAGTTGGAAACTGAAAGCAAGGCAAGTTAGCCGACAGCATAAGCCATCAGTAGATATCAGTTACCTCTCCATTTGCTTGACCAGTGGCACCTCAACCCCCCTCGCCTCCTCCCCCCCAAACCTCTTCACACCCCTTCCCAAAATGCACTACCCAGGGCTTGAGTGAGTATTCATCAACAATCAGTGTAACTGTTTAAAATTCTCAGGGATGCTTTAAGAAGTGCTGGTAGAATGCATACAAAGATAAGGTATAATTGACAATTGTCCTGTTGATTCATACTCTTCAGTTTAGCACTTTCCCGCTTTCTACATGTTTGAATAATTATGGCTTTGTACAAAACCACAAATAGATGTAGGACACATTATTTACATATTAAAAATCATAGTGATAATTTAGGCAACTCCAAAGAAGTAATAACAGAATAAGCATTGTTTTATTAGCAACCAATTTTAGAAATGTTATTGATTTTAAGCAATTTCCTATTTGATTGATTTTAAGCAAACACACCTATATATGGAGCACTTTGTTACATACAAGACCACATTTGTTTCTCATTCTACAAGTAATTATTCTACTGGATGATTTAAGAATGCACAAACTTTTACAAATAATAATCTGCAGTGGTCAAATGGCAACTGTTCTGAATAATAAAAAAAAAAACATTTGGGGCAATTTATAAAAACAATGATCACCACCCTTCACTGATGGTAAATCAATCACTGTCATTTAAAATGCATGCACTATGGAAAATTCACCTGCAGTGACCTCAGATTGACTGTTTTAAAGATATGCCCCTTAATGATACATCATAATGTGTCTACAGCTTTGGCACAATTGTATAACTACATAGTCTATGTTTTAAAACAGAAATTCACAAAATTTTTTAAAGCAATACTATGCTTACCATGAAATGAGGTTGTGTTAGTATACGCTTCAGTTCTTTTGCATCATTGTTTTCAGAGTAACAAGATATTTCTTCCAAAACCTACAATAGGTAGCAGGATAAAGGTTAGGAGGAGTTAGTTATTACTGAGCGCAGGCCTCTTTGTACAAATACATCTGCTCTTTGCAGAAGGAAGCTACTTTTCCTTCTTAGTTAATTTTGATACCAACAAGAATTTGAAAAAAGATAAAGCTTCCAATAAAACTCGAAAAAGAATTTAGTAAATCACATGTCCAGAACACAGCAGTGACAACCACCATCCCTACTGACTGTAGTTCATAGTTCGGCTTCAGTTTGCCACTATGAGCCTCAGTGCGATGCTGGAATGGAATACAGGGACCATAGTTCAACCTGCCCCTTACTGTTTAAATTTCAATACACTTGAATTCTCTCTTTTGGCAGATGCCAGTAGTTGAATCACAATGAATCACAAAT